GACCGTCGAAGTCGATGACTGAGCAGAGGGAGAGCGATCTGTGCCCAGGGGACGACTGAGGATCTCGACATTATCGATGTCGGAGAAAGGATGCATATCGACCAGCGTGTCATGGTCTAGCTGATGTATGGGAGAGTCTATTAGCTGGATGGTCGGTATCAGTGGAGTGACCGGAGCCTCTGATGCAGATACTGCTGTTGGAGCGGGGGGCACCTTAGGGGCATTACCTGGTGCAGGACCCGCTAGTTTCCCAGACTTCGCTGTCTTTAGGGCCTTAGAGGAGCCCTTCCCCCTCAACTAAACAAAGTCTTTTTTTGTTGTTGAAAGAAAACAACAAAAAACAAAGATAGAAGCGAAAAATAAAGAAAACTGAAGAGAAATACGAAGAGCCTTTGAGGAAAAATAGCTACTGATCAGACCGACGAAAGGAAAGTGCTTCCAGCGCGGTGGAAAGAAAGGAACTGGCGGGATGTCTGCGCCCACCCCTCTGGGCATGCGTGGTGGGGTTCCTGCGCATGGGTCTGGGCGCGAAAATCCGTTAAGAGCTTGCTACAATGCCGATCGATCCAGCGCATGTGCACTGTATCCCATGGGTGTGAAGCACAGAGACCACGTCGAAGATGAGTAGTTTTTTTACTCAGCTTTTCTCTACCTAAGGAGTCTCAAAGTGGCTTACAATCTCCTTCCCTCCCTCTCACCACAACTGGCACCTTGTGAGCAGTGTTCCCTCTAAGCTGAGTTAGTGTGAGCTAGCTCACAGTTTTTTAGCCTCTGGCTCACATATTTTTGTCTTAGCTCAAGAAGGATGGCTCCAGAGTAAACTAATTTATGCAGTAGCCAAATTGCTCGCTCACAACTTTAATGCCAGTAAATCACAAAGTAGAATTTTTGCTCACAGGTCTCCACAGCTTAGAAGGAGCATTGCTTGTGAGGTAGGTGGGGCCGAGAGAGTTCTGAGAGAACTGTGACTGGCCCAAGATCATATTCTCCAGATTAGAGTCTGCTGCTCTTAAACACTACTCCACATTGACTTTTGTTGTCTATGCCAAAAACTGCTGCTTTCTGCAACATGGCCCCTGCTGCTTTCTGCAACAGCATATTAGAAAGTTCCTCCTGTCCCCAATGTGGCAGCTACAAGGATTTTTGATCAGACATGTGCTGAGACATCTGTGCTTGAAATTTAATTTCCAGGGGCGGGCCCCCCAGTTTGCATCAGACTTTACGCCAAGCTGGATGATGCTGCCATTTTAAAGCAGCTTAAAAATGCTACAAGGGCCCAGTCCTGATTGGACATGAAGTGTAACAGCATTTAAACTGAGTAAAGTCTTTTAAAATAAATTTTGGTTCTAACTTCTACTTAAGGCAATAGCCATATGAGCAGTACTAGATAGATAGATAGATAGATAGATAGATAGATAGATAGATAGATAGATGATAGCTAGACAGACAGACAGACAGACAGACAGACAGACAGAGTTTAAGCATTTCTTTCTGCACCATTCTCCCCACCTGAAACGGCCTTAGGGGAATGTATACCAATGGCTAGATGCAAGTTTACCAACAGGGCAAATAGTAGCACCATGGACTGTTTCGGGTTGGAAAAATAATGCAGGGAAGAATCTAAAGCTCTCCCTTGCCAGATCAGACCCACCTGTGCCTGGGAAGCAAAGAACTCCCAGAACACATTTGATCCAAAGTCTTCCCAGCAGCCACGTGGGGGACACAAGTGAATTCGCCCTTATTTTACCAGAATATGCAAAGACAGGCTTTTATATTTTAAAAGACTTGCCTTAATAACAACAATCTGGCAAGTAATTCTTCTAAAGTAAATGAGATTATCATTACTGAAGTGCAGGGGTCGTTTCGTAGAAAAAGAGCTAGGGGGACTCATTAGCATAACTCATTAGCATATGCCACACCCCCTGACATCACCGGAAGT